GGGTCCCCCTGGCGGGGGCGGAGGGCTTTCCCCGCTACCGCCCGCTCACATTTGCGCCTTCTGCGGAACATGAGGGGCTGGCGCCCCCGGCCGCCCGGTCCCGGGCTCCGGCGCTCAGGCCCTCCCTCCGCCCGAGTGGGGGCGTCCGCGGGCTCCTCCCGCCGTGGAGAGGCGGCGCGCTCAAAGGTCTGGGGGCTGCTCAGCCTCCGTCGGCCGCCAGCGCCTCCTCTGCTCTTCTTCCTCCTCCTCACCTGCAGCACAGACACAAAGCAAAGGCCAGTCACAAAAGCGCAGATGCCCAGCACCTTCTTTGCCAAGTCCTAACTGCAGTGCCGGGTGGGAGAGGGACCTGGCGCGGGCTGATTCACCCCAGTGGTCACAGCCGGACTGGGAAATTATTAGTAATGGTAACTCGGGCTGAATAATCGCTGCCCGGGGTGGAGTTTGTTGGAATTACGCATAATAATTATTTACTCTCTAATAAACGAGTAAACATTGCGTTTTATGTCTCACAAATTTCCCGTGATGTGTTCTTCTATGGAGGCGACGTACCAACACCAAGAGCTAGGTGATCCTTTTCAGGGTTCTTTGTTACCGCTCCAACTAAAGTCTATATTTGCATTTCTTTGTGAATTCCAACTTCCGTCTCCCCCACAAGAAGATGAAAGAAATTGGCCAATTGGATATACCCATATTAAGTTCTGATTTTAAAGCATGATTTTTATGATAGAGATTATCATAATGAATTAGATAGACCAAGAGATTAGAGTGAAAGCGGATCACCCTCATTAGGTCATTAGGTAATTGGAATTCTAAACTGGATCCAATTTCTTGATATTCTACTCGGCAGCTGCCCTAAAGTTGCTTACCTGGTATCTCTTGTAAGCGTGTGTTTGTGTGCGTGTGTGCTTTCAGTACCATAGAGTGAATAATTCATTTTGGGATACTCCCTGGACACATGTTAAACAATTTTAATTTTTATACGTGCAAGTAAACTGATTCAGCAGTAATAAAAAAAGGGATAGTTGCTTTTAGTCCCATATTCCTGGATCTGAGGTAATGAATACTGTCAGGACTTGCATTTCTCAGTGTTGGTCAAGAAGTGAATTTTAGTGACTAAGAATCAGAGACAGCATTTTATTTTATAATCTATTAAGATTTTTGATGTGTATTTCCAAAATGGCAATTCAATAAAACTGGTTTAGAATCATGACATTTATTGAATCTTTGGGGCAGCTGCTTGAACTGTGTGGAGAGGATAACCCTTAAAAACAATCTTAATGAGTAATTTGAACTTAAAATTAAAGCTTCCTCATGAAAGAAAATGAATTGAAGTTACTGATTTTTCTGGTCTGGAAAAAAAAAACTCAAGGTCAAAATACGTCAAACATTTATTAGTACCTTTTCAACAAATTATATAGCCTTCTTCCAGTTTTTCTATGTAGCTGATTAAGTGAAAATGTTTGATTCATTCTTACAAAAATAATACTTTAAGAAACATTATGGTAAATTAATAAATATTTTCATTAGCCATTCATAAATTTAGATGAAAGATTACACAGTCCTTCCCATCCCCAATGTCACAATAGGTTTTACCAACATTAAATTAAGGTTCTACAGTTACTAAAATGTTATAAGAAAAAATCAGAGCTGTTTCCCTTTGTGTCAAGCTGACTTTCTCAATTAGCAAATTAAAGGCTTCAAACAGAGGTTTCAAAAACAAAATAATAGGGAAAATAGATGGTATCTTTTGCCATGTGTATCTCTATGCTCCAGCATGGGATTAGTTGCAGTGCCATTAATCATGTAGAGATAAAGAATGCCTACTGAGATGCATGGCAATCCTGCATGGATTCTCACTTCTCACAAAGGGAGTGCAGGGGAGGAGGGAATGTACAAAATTCAGAAGAAAGTGAAAATTTGGTCCACAACATGAAAGAATGTCAGAACACCCCAATCAGATTAGTAGGTTCAGCCTAGCCAATATTTCAAAAACCTCATAAAATAATTTAATAACATGAAACTCTCTGTGATTGGACAAAGAGCCATTCAATCAGACATTCATCGCCTTTCTGTTAAGAAGTCAACAGATCACACACGCTCAGAAAAATCATCTGATATGCATCAAATCATCAGTAAATGTCTGTACATTGAGAGTGTGATAATCGTCTATTAGCGTAATGATGAACACACAAGGTAAAAACCTAATAAGTATGTGCTTCATTCTTAGAATGATCATAACTGCTTTGGAACATTCTGCTATTAGATTATGACATGCATATTTAAGAAGTTCTTATTTTCATCATTTTAAAAATAAAATCTACATGAATATTAAGCTTATAGGTATATATAGACCTTTAAAATATGTCTTTATTTTTCTTTTTGTTTTTCTATACAAGATTGAAGAGATGCAATGTAACATAAAGTTAAAGAGAGCAACAAAGGCAATATACTTTCATGTGGATAGTGCTGTGCACATAGTAGATATTCATTTATATTTATGAGAGTGAGGAGGGAAGGAGAGAGGGAAAAAAGAAAAACAGAAGAAAAAAAACCCCACAAATCAAGGGCCATGCCTTTCAGTAATAACCTTTACGTTTGCTTCTCAGTCCCATTAAGGCATATAAGTGCTGGAATTTCCCTAGATTAACACAAGAGGTCATACTCATCCACAAAATGCATTTCAAATCTAATCAATTAAATCTATTTTAAGCATCATTTTAAAATCAAAGTTACCTTTTTCTTATGGTCTACAACAATTGCTTTCCCAAATTTCTTGTATTTCAAGTTTGTGAACTCACATACAACATCTACACACAAACATTTGCCTAGAAGAATAGTTTTCTCAGACCACAGGGGCTTGGGGAAAAAACTTCATGTTGTTTGTGCTCCAATGCCTTATTTTATTCATATTTAGATTATGCCATTGTTTATGATTATTTTCTTTATAGGAATTACTTGCCCATCCTATCTCTGTGTTGTACCTTAAAGCAGTACTCTCTTGAATTGGGTGTTTTGGGTTTATTTCCAAAAGCAGTCAGAGCAGGGATCCATGACATGTGTTTCCCACACTGAGTGTTGTGAAGGAAACCTTTAACTGACCTACAAAGTAAATGTTTTTCTGGGGTTGTTTTTCTTTTGCTTGTGTAAGTCAATTACAGTATTTGGTGGTGCCAAGCACAGAGGTTGTAATGAGACATAGCCTCTCTCAACTTATTTTCCTTGGCTATAAATGCAAGTGGGGAATCTGGATATCAGTTGCTTCCTTAGCACAATAACATTTTCATAGTTCCTAAAACATAACAGTTAAAACATAACATAGCAGTTATTTTAAAATCACATTGTCCTAAATTCATAAGAAATATACTATACTTGAAGAAAACATGAAAATAATAATTTTTATAATTATTTTAAATAATTATTAGTATTCTATAAACTTTTGCATTATGATTTTAAAGTGTCAAGATATGAATGAACCTTTGATAACAGTCTCATATATTTTTAGCAATGTCTCCATTTTTTTAAGGGGCTAATTATCATTTGGGGGCCTATCCAGTTAATTAGCATAGCTATTAAAGTCTCAGCAATTCCAGAAAAAAAATAAAATAAATGTAAAGTCCATGCTAATTTTGCTAGTAGAACTAAATGTGTATTACTTAATTCAATATGTGAACAGGTAGAGTGTATTGAGTATGCTAAGTCTTTTTAAAATAGTCTGTGTCTTTCATGAACAAGTACCCTTGGTGGCTAGAAACCCACACCCAAATGTAGAAAATCATAGTGGACAGTACAATCTAGTTTATAAAGCAGTTTCTCATGTGCTATTTTTATTTGCATCTCACACAACAACCCATATACAAGACAGGAGAAGGTTTTTTGGGGTTTTTTGGGGTTTTTTTTTTTTTATCATCATCTTCATTTCACAGGACAGGGTAATACCTAAGATGCAGTACATGTCCTACGGAGGTAACCTAGCTAGTGAGCTGCAGCAAGGAGAAGCCCAACTTCAAACACAACCTCCAGAGTCCATCTGTGAGTCTGTTTTATGCTCTGTAGCTTTTCTACACAACAGAAGAATATAGGAACAGACAGTAGTGGCCTATCATTACCAGAAACCTACCGTGAGTGGCCTTACAGACATTTCCACACTGGCTTTTTTGGTTTCTGTGGTCGTTATCTGTTATCCTCTTGTTGACTTCATTTGATCAACAGAATACTTTGTGAGGATATGATCCAAGTGTGAATGAAATAGTAGTGCTGTATGCTTGCATGTCTAAGAAGCCTA